GGTGGGAGGAAAAATGCTGGCGGCGCCTTGCAAAAAAGGAGTTGGGAGCAGGGACAGAGGAGTTGGAATTTAACAACATCTGGAAGGACACAGATTTCCCAACTCTTGGTTTAGAATAAGAAAGATTCAGTAAGAGGGGCATTATTCACCCTCAAGGCATCAGCAATCACTTTTTTGCTTTCCTATATCCAGTTGATGGAAATGACAAACAGGGACAGGAATCCTCTTTGTCATACTGTTTCTTCCATTCCCCCATCCCCCTCCAAGCCTCTCTCAAACTTACCACATCTTTGTTGTCAGCATCCAAAGGGCTGGTCTCAGATGGGGACTTTTCTTTTTCACTTTGTTCTCCATAGAAGAGAGATGTCAGGCTTCCCATATATAGGAAGTAAATGGCAGGGAGAAGAGGGAATGAGGAGACAGACATGAGGAGGAAAGTGTAAATTGGATATGGGGGAGGAAAAGGAAAAAGAATGGAGAGAGGAACATTATTCTGACCAGGACACTTTTAAATATCTACAGCTCCCCAACCTCAGGACACCAACAAGCCTAAAAGAGGAAGAGTGAGTGAGAAAGCAGAAGGTGTCTGAAATACCTAGATTACAGTGACAATAGTCCAAGAAGATATTGATGCCCAAGAAAGTTCAAGGGAACATATCCCTGCCCTTCTCCAATAAATGTTACAGCTTTAGTGGTGTTGTGTATTGGTGCCATTGTAGAGAGGATGGAATTGGAAGCCAGAAGAGCTTATGCAGCCATTAGCATTTTAATGAACTGGGGACTTTAGGATTGTACACAAGCATATTGCTTGAATCATCCAAATCTTGCTTGCTTCAAGTAAGAGTCTACTAATTTTCGATGGGGAGGAATGGAGAAGTTTGTACAGAAAGAAAAAAAAATAGGTGCATGACTGGCTGTTGGAAAAATCAGTCTTATAACTTGTCTAAACTATATTGGATACTATTCTGTAGCATCTTACTGGAGCTAAGAAATCAGAAGACTATGGTTACCAGGACTTTACTGGTATATGCTCTGTATTCTCTACCTTTATTGCTCTGTAACTTTACTTCAGTCTTGATTTCATTCTGCATGAGAATGGGCAGTTTGCTTCATATTTTTTTGCACCATTTGAGATCATGGTGTTAATAATTACTGCCTAATTACAGCAAAGGCACTAATAATTTAAGATGAAATGCAGGGTTAGTGGAAGGATGCCTCCCATAGTTTGCTTGTGCAGTTCTCTATTATTGGAATAAAGAATAATAAGAGTAATCTGCTCAGTAAGTGCGATTTCCATCTAGACTGGCTACAGCAAATTTCCAAGGAAGAGAGTACATCTATGCATTTGGAAGATGAAGTTCAAGCAGAGGTTACGTTCTCAGGCAAACTAGTAAGAAGAATGAAATTCTGGTACAGAATGGAATTACCAACAGTCCAGCTTCAACTGTTCGGAGGAGCTCTAACAGATGGTGTGGCCTGGGCTTGTGCGTGCTAGCAACAATTCTTATTTCTTAGAAAGGCTTAAATTCCAGTATTTTTATTGCTCTCTCTCTCCAATTGTTTATTTTTCTGCTCTTAGGAACAGAAGAAGCAGTCTTATACTACTTCAGCATCTTTGTTCATATAATGGCCATGGTGGTGAACCTATGATGTTGCTGAATTGTACTTCCCAATAGTCCTGTGGAGGTACACTTTCTCTAGTACAATATCATCTACTATGAATCACTGTTCAGCATCATAGGCTTTCTGCTTTCTTTTTTTAAACTGAAGATGGTGGGAATTGCATTTGGGAACTTCTGCAAGTGAAGCATAGCTCCCCCAATTATAGTTGGCCACCTTTGTATCTAGCAAGGTATAACAAACCCCAGCAAGGAAACCATGATTTGACAAGTTCAGAGGCCGTGCACTATATGATGGGATCTTTTTTTTCTCCTCCACTGTTGCTCTCCACTTTTCTAGACATTTGGTCCATTACTTAGGGGGGAAAAAAACATACCAAACACACATAGCATTTGACATTGTGCTGTGAACTTTTCTGCATAGCAGCATGGCTGAGGTAATGCAAGATGGCTCTGTAGGAGCTCCATAACCATACTCCATAACAAATACATCTTTTTGCTCATAGGTAGCATTTCACAAGTAGGCCAAGGTCAGAATTTAAAGCCCTCATTTCAGGACTCTATTTCAGTATCTACAATTTTTGGCACATATTTGATAATTATATCTGGAAAAGGTGTACCATAAATAGGAGAAGGAACAATGCCCAGAGCCAAATCAAATCCCCAGTGGAAAAGTAACAGACTATTTATACAAACTGAGGGATAATAAATCTCACATAATAGTAGAAAAGAATGGCCAGATCAGAGTTTCAGCAAGAGTAATTTCAAAGCTGTAGCATTCATGAAAAGAACACCCACTATATATTATAAAAATGTAATGCTTTAGATTAAACGCAGGGATATCTGGAAATACTATTTTAGGGTAATGTTGAAGAAACGGTATTTTAAGCATTAGATGCTGACTATAACTTTCCCATTCACCCAACGTTAAACCATCAAATAAAAACCAGCATCATCAGACAGAAAATACATCACAGATTAAGGATCAAGAGAATATTTTAAAGGAGTTTGCCCATGTTACCAGATGACATTCAAACATCTTGTGAAGGAAATAGAAGCCACTGCAAAATGGGGAGGAAGTGAATTAAAACAATACAGAGGGCAGATTCACCCAATTTGAAATCTCTAACAAAATTAATCCAATCTGCCTCTACCACTCACCTACCTTCCTCCTCCTCTGCCTCTTCTGGAAGACAGAAAGTATCACCAGTATAAAATTATTTTGCTTTGATCCTGGATCTTTTTAAAGAGAGTTTCAAGGCCAAGATTTCCTTGAAATACAGGCAGAGAAACATGAATTATTTCTTTTCCACCTTGACAAACAGCTGATTTGGGGAAAGCTAATTGTTCCTGGATGGAATGGATAGACTCTCAAATGCTCCTTTAAAAGCAGTGGTGATTCTTTTTCTTTCACAAGAATCCTCATTTCCCCAAGCCTTCCATTCCCTTATCACCACTGTATCATTACTCGTAGGAGTTCCATGTGCTTGGAGGCAAACGGCTGATTAAAAAAGAAGAACAATGGTAGTCAGTGGGAGAGAGATCATCAGAGAGTAACAACAAACAATACTACTAACTGAGATGCACAGAATGAAGACAAACATCTCCAAAAGGATCAGAATTAGAGATCCACATTAGTGTTCTTTCCTCCAAGAAATGACTGCAATATGGAGAAAGAATAGAACTATGTGTAATATGAACACATAAATAAATGTGCTAGCTATGTTTCACACTGGGCTACAGTCAATCACAGGTACACTTTGTGAGATGGAATCTCTCTACAGTCATTGCCGCCGCCATCATCATCATCATCATCATCATCATCATCATCATCATCATCATCATCATCATCATCATCATCCTGCCTTCGAGTGGACACTGCAGCAGTGAGGCCAATAAGATATAGCACAGGGGTGAGGCCAGTGTGCACAGTGTGGCACCACAAACAAAAGGTGGAATCTGTTTGGCTAGCATTGCAACTGATCTGGGAATGGTCACTGGGCTTGATGGGAAGAACTGCTTTATTTTGGTCCCTTTTCCTTCTATGATGATGTTAACAAACAACCAGTTCTGCATACCACACATATTCATCAAGGCTTGCATTTACACACTGGGACAGAATCATGGCTGGGAAAACAGGGAATCACACATCCTATCACCAAAGAGGAAGGGTCACTGTAAGATGGCAGAGCAAAACCACATGCCTGGGCACTTCCAGAGATACCAAGCAGACAGACTGGGGAATACCCAGTCAGCAGGCAGGCTGGCTGAAAAGTAAATCTATGTCCTATGCTGTACCAAACCAGTGGGGCTGCAAACTATATTTGTGATCTAAACAACCATCATCTAATAAGTATTGTGGCTGCTCAGGATATGCCCTCCGTCCTTAACCCACTCATGGCTCTTTGATGCCGCTGTGCAGCTGGCACTTCCCAAGCTAAGGTGCTAAGTGAAACACAATCATCTACTCTTTATACACTTCAACAACATTTAATACAGTTTAATAAAACAACATTTAATATACTTGACCATATTTTGGCCAGAAATATACTGTACACATTAAAGAAAATCACATATAAAAAAAAAAAACCTTGGAGAAATCATTTGCAATAATGCACATACTAGTGGGAAATTGCTTCCAAAATTGCATCTATTCAGAGAAACAGATATAAAACTGTGTATGAATTCTTCTGTAGATTTTTATGCAGATATTTCTTCTTTCCAATTTTCTATGCAATTGCAATTATGCGGAGAGAAGACTATCTGAATATTGTTATTTGTAACCTGTATTCTGAGATGCCTGTTTTCAGAAGAGGACAAATACTCAAAGCTATTACATTTAAGCATGTCTGTGTATTTTACTCTAAATAATATGCGCACTTATCCTACTAATGTACCTTGGTGTTTTGATTATCCCCACATTACAGGGGGAAGAAGAAAGTCTATTAAGGCTAACAGATAGCTGCCACATAGGGAATTCATCCTCAAGGCAAGATATGGACCAGAGATTTCTTGGCTCATGGTTCACTGATTTATTTCACCAACTAGCTATCATCTGATCTTCTGCCTAAAGGCATCTTGCACCTTGCTCTTCTAAGTACTTCTTTACTAAGATCTGCCTTTTAAGTCCACCATCTTCCTCCATACATCTTAACCTTCAAAACCTTGGCTGGTGGTAATCACCAGTAGGATTTTTCAGTTCCATGTATTGAAGCAGTGGACGAGATAAGAGGTTAGACAATTTCTTTCCATATTCCATCAGCTGTATGATTTTAGCCAGTTCTTTGGTACTGTCATAGCCTTATTTTGTTGCTGCTCCTGTCTTTACTGTTGTGCAGTTTTACTATACTGATGGAATACAGAAAAATTCTGGATGGCAAGATCTGTACAACAGTGGAACAGTCTACCTTTAGAAGTTATGGGTTCTCCATGTCTAGAGGCTATAAAGAAAAGGCTGGACAGTCACTTCTTGAGGATGGTTTAACTGGTTTTCCTGCACATTACAAAGGGTTAGACTAGATGATCTTCATGGTCCCTTCCAACTCCACAATTCTATGATTTCATCTTATGTTACAGAGATTAAAAAACTGCTTTGGATTGTTCCTCTTTTAAAAATGAAATTTAAGGAAATTTCACGTTTTCTTCTACTACTGGAATTAAGGATCCATTGCCAACAATTTTCATAATCCATTGGTCATGTAGATTTGATGACTTTTTTTTCTGTTGTTATCCCAAGTTTTGAAGCTCTGCTAATACTGCCCTTGTGTATTCAATTCTCAACAGAGTACCCATCAGTACTGATATTTTGGAGTATGTACAGCAATAATCTCCAGTCTGATGCCCTCCAAAAGTGCTTGGACTGTTAGGGGCTGGTAATACTTGGAGATGCAGCCACAACACATCTGGAGGACATTAAGTTGGAAAAGCCTGGCATACAGCAAATTGCTCCGCTATTTGCTAAGCCCTTCAGCTTTTCCATCCTTTTAGAAAGCTTAGATTTTACCTGTCATTATCCATCAGCAAGGCTAGGCGTCCATAGTCCCAAGCTGCTTTCCGAAGGCAGGAGAAGATGAAGAGAAGTACCTGCAGTTAGAGAGAAGAATTATGGGCCTAGTGGATCCTTTTCACTAAGCAAATCCTCCATTCCCTTTTCCCTGCCTGTGACAGAAATTGCAGTAGAAGATAAACAACAACAGCTGCAGAATGGGATTTCTGCTTCCATATGTTTTCAGAGCTCGCTTAAACATCTAAACCTGGCTGTTGAATCTTTTTCTGGGTTTGCACAACTCACTGAATTGTAACCAGGCTGCATTCATATGACATATTAACCGCATCACCACCAAAGAAACTAACCAAGGTTAACATTAATAAAACTTAGCATGTGGTGCAAATGCATCTGCTAGGTCTTTAACTGATCTAGTTAGGTATGTTGTATGAATCCTGCCAATGTGAATTCAAGGTGGGAAAATAAACAGGCAGGAAGGTAGAAGAATATACCATTTTTATGCCTGCTAATTCTCCCTTACATAGCATGAATATATGTGGAATTTAAACGAGGCTATATACAAATGTGTCTCTCAGTTGAATCCTGAACTTGAGTTAAACTGGAGAAAAGGTGTAAAACCGCACAAGGTAAAGATAGACAAGAAATTATGAATTCTCGTGCTTGTTTGTTCAAGTGTCTCTAAGATGCAGTATATATATTGGATGTCTGGTTGCAGACCCACCTGGCCTATGCGGAACACTGGCTGGGGTGAATGTCAGAAGAAATGTGGGAGAGGGAAGAGTTTGCTCTCACCTGCCTGAATGAATGGGGGTTTCCCTATTCACTATCAATGTGATGTCACATCTCTATGACTAAAGGTCATATGATGTGTTTCCCATAGCTCTAATATTTAGGGAAATAATCTTTGTATCAGTTGAGTTTTTTCTCTCCCTCTCAAGTATTCAAGAAACATATAGGGAAGAATCAATGAGAATTGTATCAGGAAATGAAGAAGGAAACTGCCATATCCCATGCACTGTGTTTGATGTAAAGATATAAAATTTAAGGTTTCCCAAATGTCCAAATGTTGCTGCTTGCTGCTGTTGTGGGTGATGATTTATGAACAGATAAAGAAGGAAGGTGATTTTCTCCTTCTCACTCACCATCCAAAGGATGAAGTTGAGAGCAAGTACTGTGGGCACACCACCAAATGGCAGCCCTTGTAAGACAGTGCTGTGGGAGCGGGCGCTGAAGCATTGCTCCTCTGTACTGTTGGTCAGAGCATCCAGATATGTGAGAACGTTCAGAGAGATGGAACTCCTGTCTCCTGATGAAGGTGTGGTCATGATCATGTTGTCCATCTGTTAAATCAGTGGTCTCCCAGGGAGTTCTGCTGTGTCAAACACCTAGAGTGGAATTAGAGGAAAAGAGAGAAACTAGGTAGGAGACTGAAAAGGGCTGATCAAAGGAGAATTTTCATATCTGAGGATACGCTTGTCCCTCTATAAGTATGCTCTCTGTTCTGTCCCACACAGATACAGAGACTGAGGGGCAGAGGACAGTCAGATCCTTGCTAAACCAGTCCTATAGAGATGTCAGAGAGTATTTCAACACTATCTGTAGGTCTAA